ATTTAGGCCACATGTTTTGGCTTTCATTTGAGGCACTATATAATTCTGCCGAAACATAAGACTAGAACTGTTGTTTATGTAACCTATTCAACATTAAGCAGAGTACAGTATATAAATTTGGTTAGGGTAGCAATAGACAAGGCCTGTTCATTCTTAAGATTCTTGTGATAATCATTATTGCTTAATGTCCAAATAAAACTCTGCTCTGAATTGGAAATTTGTTTAGAAAGCCTCTGAAATTGAAGCACGTCAATTTTAGAGACACAACTGAAATTATCAATTACGTTTATCTCAAGATGCTACCATGAAGTAGCTTGAATCCTTTGGTTAGGCCACAATATAATACTTAAATCTGAATATAGTAGAACATATATTAAGGGAACCTTTGGGACCAAAAAAAAGTTTCCCCTAAATACCTTGATATTTTTACCCCAAAGTTAAATCAACTTTTCCTTAGGACCTATGTACAGTACCTCTCTATCAAGTTTTTGATGATACATTTATTAGTCTATCCATAATCCTTATTAATTTGATTTTCAATAACCTTTCTACCTTCTTTCTTTGTATTTCAGAATTATCTTGTAAATATGATGTAATGATAATGTAAGAATTTTAATTATCAAACTCAATTCATACTTCTGTCTAAGCCCAATACAATACTGTAAGTATATCATGATGCTTCCAAAACAAGCAGCATTATCTATCCAATATATCAGTATGAGGAGCTTTGTCAATAACATATATTCGCAATCTCAAAGCTTGTGTATACCATGGGTGCCATCAAGCTGCTCACAAACGTTTTGCTGATTATTATATGCATCTATCGATTACATCAATTACATGTGCTTAAAAGGATATGCCCCTCAATATTTGTCTTCAAAATTTACCTTTAACAATACTACCCATTCTAAAGGCACACGTAGCCAAACCCATAACAACCTGGTTCTTCCAATGTATAATACTGGACAGGGAAAAAGAACTTTTTTATATCGATCATCCAAAAACTGGAATGAACTACCACACAAATTAAAAATTAATTTTAAAGAGATGTCGGCTTTTTCATTCTAAAATCATTTAATTTTCAAATTTTATTTTATTTTATTCTTTGTCTTTATTTCTATTGTATATGTTTCTTGTCACTGTACCATTTTGAAAATCAGTACTTCAGTATTGAAAGTATACATTATAAAGAAAGATTAAGATAAATAAATAAATAAATGAACAGTCTACGAAACTCTTTCTGCATCACACCTGTAGAGTAAATTCCGGCATCACATCAGTGAAGCTTATTCTGCACACATCTGTGGCACTCTTGCTCTACCACTCGCATGGAGCACCTTTAGCCCCACATCTCCAGGGCTCTTGCTTGCATCATCCCATCAGTCGCAATCTTGCTCTACCACTCGCATGGAGCACCTTTTGCCCCACATCTCCAGGGCTCTTGCTTGCACCGTACCAGCTGTGGCACTCCTACTATACCACTCACATGGAGCTCTTTTTGGCTTGCATCATATCAGCTGTGGCACTCATTCAAGTACAGTAATGAATAAAAAATTTGTTACAGTGGGACTAAATTTGGTGCCATCATTCAAAAGAGTTCTTCAAATATGAAATTCCATATCAAACAGTTTGTTTATATGGTGGATTGTTTAGCAAAGAAATTTAGCCAGTAAAAAGTACAATAAATTCAGACAGGTAAACTTAACACTACTTTAAAAATTATTTTATGGCGCCGTTTGACACACTTTTGGTATCAGAATGCTTATCTTACAAAGCACTCAAATATTATGTTCATGATATCACATCTAACACTGTTTAAAGTCCATATAGGCTTTTATGCAAGGGTTCAAATTAATAATGTACTTCTAATTTAGCTAGATTGAAGCTTCTGATGCATTTCAACTAGACCAGGTACCAGGGGCCATGACTGGAGAAAATGGCCAATAACGGAGGAGACACCAAACCCTCTCGATCTCAGGCTTGATTGTTGCTTTGCACCTTCTCCTCCCTACTCCCATTAGTTTCACTTTATCGATCCACCACTGATAACCAAATATAATAAACAGCTTATTGAACATGGCGTGTGAGGGTCATCAGGAGCAGATATAGGGGGGTCCAAAGCAATCTCGCCTTCCCCCTTCTCCCTTTTAGAAAGGAAAAGAAATTTATGATCGTCCAAAATGCCTCGGGCATCTGGAAAACAATTTCGCGGGGCATAGGGTAGTGTTGTTTCTCGATCGGCCCTCCCTTTCAGGGGCCCCTTTCGGACATCTCTGGATCTGCCCCTGCTCATATTAGTATGAGAATTATTATTTTTGTAAATATACTATTTGATTTGCTAATCAGTAACTGCATTCCTAGACATGGATATAACTAGTTACTGATGTTGACCAGCACTTACGTGACCAGATAAGTCTGCTCAAAGAATTGTTTTGACAGTAGACACAAAGTACACACTTTAGAAAGTTGAGGTATTTGTTTTGGTATGGTTCTCATTCAAAAGTTGCTAACTATCGCTATTTATTACTGTAGGTGAGGGGAGTATGTGTAAATTGTTTGATAAGTGGTCTGCGCAGTTTATGAATTGAAATTCTAATTTGGGGAGGAAGAACGGAAATGAGATGCAATCAAGGCATCATCTTTGGCAGGGTGTGTATATTTGTGTTATGGTTCAAAGGTTTGTTTTATGTAACTAGGCTTACAGTAGATTAGAGTGGAGGGATATCAACAAATGTGAAATGTTTATTATCCAATCATATTTCCTGTAATACCCAAACATTTAAAAAGCGCCAATTCCAAATTGAATGATCAAAGGCGCGAGCATTATTAAGAGTATCCCTAGTCATTCTCTACTTTTTTAGCGCACGAAACTAGAACATTCAATGCCACAACATCTTACCAGGTACCCATTTATACTCCTGGGTAGAGAGAGGCAAACATAGATAAAGTGCCTTGCCCAAAGACACAAGTGACTTGCACAGAGAGAGTTTTGAACCCCTGACCTCAAGGTTGGGAGTGCAAGCCACAACGATGCGCCAACCACTTCTACAAATAAAGGAGATCACCTAGATTGGGAATTCATTCAAAGTTATAGCTTTGCTAATTCTAAATCAAAGGTATAAATACTGAGTGTATTTGCTTTAAAAACACCTAACTACAGCCTCTTAAATTGAAATATTTAATGTTAATAATGTCAAGATTGCCTGAACCCCCACTGGGACTCTGCCCTGGACCCTGCCAAGTTTGGTCCCTTTTTCTGGAAAAAGAACCCACTCGCAACCCTGGGTATGAGCTTCTTAAACGTCTACAGTACCATCAGAACACAGCAACATTCAACAGTCAAAGTAATTATATCTATGTGATACAAGTTAAACAGAAAAAAATATATTAGGGATTGAATATACCTCTTCCCAAGATAATGTGATAGTGCGATAGTGTTTGACCTCATCATATTCCAAGATTATTGTTCGATTTTAACAAATTTAATTTGGCTGTAATAAAGTGACACCTCAGTTCCCTGATCGTCAATATATGAGCAACCATGTTAACTAAATTCTACTACCCTGGGGATTATTTCAGCCATGATGCATAAAATCCTTGCATAGACTAATTCACTTATTTTCCCAGGCACCCAGATATACACCAGGATAGAGTGAAGGGAAAGTTGTACATTAAATTTCTTGTTCAAGGCAATGAAAATGTGAAAAAGAATAATGGATTTAATTTATTTTTTGAATCTGGAAATTGAACTGAACTAAACTGAACCTTGTTATAAATTAATCCGAGTTGGCTCTCCTCATGCTTGAAATTCAATCCACAGAGGTGACCATTCGGAATTAATGATCGTTTGCCGCTAAACTTTGCTTCCTTGTATAATCATTGGTTAGTGGTTACAAAATATTACACATTTGGACTTGCCTCAAGAGGTAAATTTACATTCATGTAGTGTCAGCCTAGAGCTAAAACCAAACCTATTTCCAGAAGAGGTCCAGGGCTAGCTTAATTATTTGCTGCCTTTCCCTTAAATGTAACCAGGGATCTGTGTAACTTGGGCCAATTACATGGTGAATCAAAAGGACATTTCCCACTTGTGTGACAATTCCACTTGCTACATAGGTGAAAAAAAAATGATCTTTAACATTAGCAAACAAATCATAATGATATGAATATTTTATTCACATATTTGAATGAATGTTGATGTTTGCTATTGCTAACTGAAATAATGTTTGCATTTTTAATACCTTGGAATGCTGCCAGTAATTTCGTTCCTGTACCTTATCAAATGTTGGTCATTGATGGTACTGACCCACTAACGCCTAATTTATTATCCTATTAATAATTTGCGGATCACATGTTCAAAATCCTCGTCTGTTTGGCATCTGTGTACAAGTGGCATATGGGCATAATCAGTGAAATATTACATTGATGCTATATCTGCTCATGTTTAGGACTGTACCATTATTTTGATGGGAGTTTAAATGTGTAAATAATATCTGTAGTTCAATTGTGCATATTATTTCAAAAACATTGTGAAAAATCTTAAAGCATCCTAATATGGAACTTTAGTTATTTTTCAAAAAAAATCAATCAGTTAATTAAGATTGCATAACTGTAAGTGTAGAGGATAATTTTTTTAATCAAACAGGTTATTTTTTTTAAATCAATTAATATTTATGAATTAATGTTGTTGAATTATTACTGTACAGTATATATACTCTAACTAAACCATTCAACCCATATGTAAGTTAAGGTGATGCTGCCTCAATGGCTATACATTAAAAAGGCTACTGGTAAAGTCATTCTAGTGTTAAACTTTTTAATTTTGACCATTCTGTAGCAGTAATAATAACGGTCCGAGTCAACAAACCTTTCATCTGTGTTTGTTTACCTACAACTCTGACACAAGAGATATCAAACAGAATTTTTATAATGGAATATTCCAAAGCTAACAGACCTTGTTGAGTGTAATTTGTGTAGTGGGGTTCTTATCTTGTACCGTTCATTTGGATAGCCCTTCGTTGTTGATGTTGATGATTTCTATCTAATGCCTGTAGGCATATACGATAGTGTTGATATATCAGTGCAAAGGAGCAAGTGAACAAGGCAGAGGCCCATGTGGTGAAAGCTTGGATGCTCAGGCCTGAATTTCAATTTTTACCATATGTCAGGCCATTGTTGTACTTGGTAAGACTTTGTATTGCTTCTCTCCTCAGCATGCTAGAGACATTTTTTTAAACAATTTAGTTTATTTTATAATTTAATTCTTACAGTTAGCTCCTTAGATTACTGTACCTTGCACCAAATGATTTTGGTATGGAACAACTAGTAAAAATTGCAGGCTATATACTGTGGTGCATACCTAAAGTATACTCTTATTTATAATCATCTGCCACAAAATATATATATAATTTTTTTGGCATGGCAGAATAATGTTGTTGTTGATGTTGATGAAATTGTTTCATAGAATTATTGAGATATTCAGTTGTGTGCACTGTGTATTATTGAGTAATGTATGAATTTATTATTGTATATATCATACATTAAAATTTTCAGACAGCAATTTAAAGTTAAAAATTTGCACATTAAGCTATTAATGTACCTTAGTATTTGATGTGTTTTAATCATATCTATAATTGTATTCAGAGCCCAATCAAAAAGATCTTATCAAGCCCATATATAAATTTTATATAAAGATTAAAAATAAATCTTAAATATAGTATTCATTTTAGCCACATCTATCTTCAGGCCTCTTTAAATCTGTGTTGTCGTACCTTTCCATACTTATTTAATCGTATTGTACATACAGCCACGTAGACCTGCTCTGCAAGTTCTGTTCGCGACATAAATTTACACGGTCTAGTCTATAAATATCAGACATAATATGAACTCTGTGCCATAGCCATCATGATTCATTCCGTTGGACATCAAATGTTTGGACCCCAAGACTAGCAACTTAGTACAGCATACATAGACTGTATGCAGTACAAGAAACAATTTGTGTTTCCTAGAAAGGCCCCTGAAATGCAATTTCCCACATTCTGAGAGGTCTTAATAATAAAGTTGTATTTCTTGAATTTGAAAAACATCCGATCTTAAATGATATATAAAAGATAAAAGCAAGCAAACAGTAACAAACTATTAAAGTTCCTTTAATTATATACAGGTATATATAATGATGAAGTTTGTCATACTGGCCTTGGCATAGCAAGCCCCATATACATTTTCACGATACATTGGAGCGGTTAGCATTTTGATGTCTGAGGTTCGGACCTTTACTTTGAATTTCGCTTTTTTTCAAATCTGCAGTCGTCTTTCCATCAAAATAAAGCTTATATACAGTAGAGGTATGTATAAAATGATGAGGCTTGTCATGCAGGCCTTGGCATGGCAAGCCCCCATATACAGTTACACGATACATGGGAGTGGTTAGCACCTTGAGGTCTCAGGTTCAGTCCTTCACTTTGAATTTCGCTTGTTTTCTGCAGTCGTCTCTCCACCAAAATGTAAGAGTATCTGGTACGTCCAAACACCTGCTGATTACTGCTGCAATAATGGTATTACAGTATGTTGCCTATGAAAGTTATGGAACACAATAGCCTGGTTCACGTCGAACTTTACCTAGATATACCCGTCTTGAAACATGATGCGATAATTCCCTAATTGCGTTCGATGCCAAGTTAGAGCCAGATAAACAGCCAGCCTGTTTCAGGCCGTCAACGTCACACGGTGGGAATGGTTGTTTAATAAAACATCTACTGTATTTTACGAACCTCTAGTACCAAGTGGTATTCGTTCAAAAAAATTGTAAACTACTGTAGAGAAGGTGCGAGTTTCCACTACCTAACCTAGCCGACCAGTACGAACCAACGACAGTGCAGCAGCGTGTTCTATCGCAATCTAAGTATTAGATTCTCTAGGCCCTAGCTAAATTTACCTTTGATAAAAAATGAATTATTTTAATCGCTAGCTAGCATTCTTCCATTTAACAAAATATTGTTTTAATTTTTATTAAAACGTATGTATACTTTATTGAACTTTCTGTCCTGTTTTTCGATCGCTCAATTGTGTTGTTTAGATGCACTTCACGGTGTCAAATAAGTTACTGACTTCCACACACTTTTTTATTTCGTCATCGTAAAAATGTGCGCTCATTTTAACGACTGGCGTTGGTGGTAAACTGAATTAATAGCGACTATTATAGTAGAAATTGAAAAGATCGAATTGTCAATAAATAAATACAACAAATCTGATTTTATTATTAAGAAAAATATACATTATCACTTTAAAAAACTTACGCAATCGGACTTTTTAACGTTATTACTTGGTCGATGATGCAAAGGGCAAAGGTCATTGGTAATATCGACTATTCGTAAACAAATGTTTGCTGGGTTTTTACCCATAATATTACAAATAATTTCTGAAAACCAGACTAATGAGACTACTTCGATGCTGTTGTTAGCATTGTTGGAGTACGTTATTGCCAGCCAGAAGATGATAATGGTGGTACAATACAACAATGCGAGCTTAGATGCCTACGTTACGTAATTGTGTCCTTGTAATCCGAGCCGACTTTACCGTTAAGCAAGTTAATTTACCGTTATTCTAGTAAAGTTAAGTCACTTAACTTTAGGTCACTTAAGCCTTTATCTAGCTATAATTGAGTGGTTCACGTCGAACTTTTAACTAGTTAAGTGGATGTATATCTAGATAAAAGTTTGACATGAACCAGGCTAACAAATACCATCAATCTTAAAACGTAACAACACAAGCTTGGTCGAATTGGGCATGTTGCAGTTTAGAGTGCCTGGTCCTTATTTGAATTTTGAATATTTTTTCATATTTATCTCACTTCAAAGTAAAGATTCTTACTACACGTTACCAAGAAAACTACTATGAGGCCAACTACTAATAATAATAATGAGTTGAAGTATAATAATATTGTGCTAAATATACCGTAACATCATTAATAATGATAAGGAATAATAGTGTGCTAAATATACTATACTCTAGCTTCATGGTAATGTGCTAAAAATAAACTAGCAGGTTTCACAGAAAGTCTAAAATATCTTCACAAGATTACCTGTCAATAATGAATACATAAACAATTATACAGAATGTGTTACCTCTCTACAGAGTATTCTATGTACTGTATTCATGTTCAGTGCAAATAACGAGCATTTTGTAGAATATTGGTACTCCTAGTTAGGGATTAGATGTGTTTATATCCAATTTTTAAAAAGTAAATTTAGGAATGTGATGTGAGCAAGATATTCCATGAAATAAATTGATATATGGATATTATTTACTGTATGTGATTGATGACCACCAGTGGAAACATCGGCCTTGCTTAGATTAGATATTTATTTATTTATTCTTCATACTGAATATACACTTTAAATAGTAGTGATTTCCAAAGTGATTCAGTTCTTAACTACAAACATTTTAAAAGCAGGAACATTAGCATAAACTTAAGAAAATAAAATAATAAATATGGATATGCACGGTAAGAGAAAATCAAGTTAAATCAAGATGGTATTATAGAAGATTTGAAATAGAATGCTTAAAATTTGAAAGTGTCATAGACTTAAAGTTGGTTTTAGTATGATCCGGGATTTTATAGATAGTAGTACAATGAAACTAAGAATTTGAGACAAATGTACTAAAATCTGCAGAATGTTGATTTATGGCAATGGTTGTGATAGGATAAGATATTTTTGGCATAAAACACACCTAGGATAACTCTCTTAAGTCTAAAAACTTGTTTCTAGTAGAGTCCTTATTTGTGGTAATTGGGTAGTACATCGGAGAGACAGTTCTGCACTCCCCTGTAAGAAAGGTTTATTGCGTTTTGCAATATGCATGTGGCCATATTGCACACAGCTTAAACATCTCATGCAAAGACAGTGCGTTGTAACCAGGGACCACATGTCGGAAAGGATCTCCATGATTCAGTGCACATAAAGTTTTTATCATCTGAGCTAAGCTGCCTAGGCGGTGGGTAAACTGATAACTATTTTGTTAATTTATGGAGTGATTATTATGTATTTTTTTCAAAATTTGTCATTTGTTGAAGGCTTGTGTAATTAAGGTATAGCACTATAGTTGCTCTATTGTATGCTACTTTGCCAAAAAAAATTGGCTATTTTGCCTTTAATTGGGAAAATTTGGAAAGTAGGTTAGTCAAATTTCTATCTTCATAGAAATTGAAAATTAAGCTATTTCCCAATCTTTAAAATTCTCAGTGCTTATTCAATATAAATGTAAGTGGAAGCTTCACATTATTGATATATGCTCTGTCCTTAGTTTGCGCCTTACGTGAAGTTCATTGGGTGTAGTATTTTTATTCAGCATCTCTCCCCCCCCCCCCCCCCCCCCCCCCGCATCTCTCCCCCCACCCCCACCCTTCCACTTTTCAAAATCCTGGATACGCCACTGCTGATAATTAGAGAGCTTCTCTGATAGTTGCCAAAGTTTAATGTTTCTCAGTTTGTGAAAATTTTGTTACTTGGAAATTGAAATAAAATGGAATAAACTTCAATAATAATAATGAAATAAAAACTTGCAATTTATTTTGTATTTTAATCTGAATTAATGGACAGCTTTGCCAGAGTTAAGTGCAGATCTTTTCACTTAATTCAAATTATGGCCAAATAATATTCTACAAGCGAAGAATAAACTACTCATAGTTATTGATTTGTAAAATCCAACTTTATCATCTTTACTCATAAAGTAAATTGCTCTTTGTGTTCAACTCCAGGCTATAATTATACATGATCACAATTTTGCATTTCGTTGATCCCTCGTGTGTGCTTTGCCCATGGATATGAATTGCATGGCTTACCGTATGATTTTCACAGCTTTACCGTATCATATTTGCCAAACATCAAAAGATGCCTCTCATATTTGATCATGTTTTTTAAGTGAAGCTATATAGTGCCCTCAAGTGGTGCATAGCAATTACCCTTAACAATAGACAATTAAAAAAGTCTGAGTAATGAGGATAATTACCAATGGTTAATCACTTGCAAAGATGTCTTTGGGATGTGGGCTGGGTAGAAGAGAATAATAATTGGGAAGTAGTACAACAAGGGCAGTCAAGATGAAGACCGGTTTTATATAAATGAACTTGCTTTGCATTTTTCAGTTTGATTCATACTGTTGTTCCTGTTTTTGCTATTGGATAT